AATCTCTAGTCCAGGGGTAGGGGAACCTGTGGTCTCAAGGCAATCTGTGGCCCTCTAGGTCCTCAAGTACAGCCCTTCAACTAAATCCAAACTTCACAGAACAAATCCCCTTAATAAAAGGATTTGTTCAGCAAAACTTGGATTCACTCAAAAGGCCACATCCAGGGACCTAGAAGGTCACAGGTTCCCCACCCCTAGGGCTCTAGTCTTGCTGAATTCCATTTAATCAAGTTTGGATGGAGAAAGATCCTTCTGTCTAAATTGCCCAAGGCTAGGGGTACTCTAGGTATAGAGAGAGTCTCTCTGTCCAAGGGTGACGTGACTCTCAGTCCCTTATTGTAATATTCATTCTATCATTCACTGTTAATCAGAGTTGATGGCATCCTTTTTAACACTCCTCTTCCAAAAGGGCATAAAAACTGGGAGACCTCCATGATTATCTTTGTTCCAATAGAGAGATGGCCGAATGACCATCTTTTTATCAAAATACTGCCATTATTAATAAAATGATTAAATTTTATGACATTCAAATCTTTTTAAAGGCCACATTATGCAATCCCTCATTCTCACCTGGTGACCAATACAATTCCTTTTTTGGTTATTCATACACACACACACACACACACACACACACACACACACACACACAGAGAGGCAACAGGCTGACTGGCAGAGGAGTCAATAATCAATCACTATGTTCAAATTCTGCCTCTGATACTTAGTACCAAAGTGAGCAAGTCATTTCACTTATCATAATCCAAGTTTCCTTCTCTCTAAAATGTGGATACTAAAATCTGTGATACCTCTCACATGGTTGATATGAGACTCAAATGAGATAATATATATGTAAAGTGCTTTGCAAACCTTAAGGCACTATTAAATGTCAATCATTATTATTTCTATATCTTTTATAGTACTTCTTGAACACAATTATTTTGGGGTATATAATATACTTCAGCTTATTTACATCTACTATGAGTCTCTCCACTGACCTTTCCATAATCTGCAATTTCAATTCACCAAAAATTGGGGTATTTTATGATTCAGTGTCCAACAGCATCACCAGAAGTTTAAGAGTTATCAAATGAAATTCAACTATTTACTATCCATGCTATGTCACTGAAACTTAAGGCCTACTCAGTTTCTTTTACCTATTAAAAACTAACAAAAATGTTTTAAGTTGTACCTGATATGAATCCTGTTATTTTTATAAACAGTTGCCCTGGGCTAAAAGCCTTTTAAAAAATAGACATTTGGGACTGGGTTATTCTGTCTGACCTCACACCAAGGGACCTAGTTGATAGAAGGTCATTCTGTCTTTAGTTGTATCCTCTGTAGGTCATAATAAAGTCCTAGGAGGGAGGAATGGCCAAGGAATGATGGGACCTGCCTGGGAAGTACACTGGGGTGAATGAGTATCCCATTCATTCTTCACCCTATTTTGATGTTGTTATATTTTATTCTGAAGGATGAGGTTGCACTTATGATTGCAAATACACACAAGTTTTTGCTTTCTCTGATTTTCTGCTAATGGGAAAAAAAATGGAAGAGAATAAAACTCTACTGATTTTGAGACAAAAAAGGGGGGAAGGGAGGTCTGACGTTTCCTATCCAGCTGGAAAATACATCAAAGTAAACCAGTCTAGTTCATCAAGACTCATAACCTCAAGACTGGCCACTGCTAGGCAATGACATTTTTTTTGGGTCACAATTAATTTCATGAGTCTAGGACAGACAGAATTCCATTTTCATCTATGAGTACCTATACTCACTTATACTGATGAAATAATATATTTTGGTGTACTATCCCAAAATTAAATGCCTAAACAGAAATGTAATGTGATACATTACAGGAATCGGGCATAACAAAACTGTTAGCTGGTATAATCAAAGAATGGGTAAAGGAACTATCATGAATCACAGAATCTTAGTACCTAACTGAACCTAAGAGATAATTTAGAACCACCCCATTTTCCAGATGAGAAAAACAAGGTCCAGACCATTGAAGTATCTTTGCCAAGTTCTAATCTCCTGACTCTCGTTCAGACTTCTTTTCCACCATGCCATGCTGCCTGCAAATTTTCAAAGGAATAGAATACAATAAAATATTTTAACCCAAAAATCATATTGAAAATAATATAATATTTCTTTACTGCCCCAGAAAGGACTTCAAAATGTTACAGGGCTTAAAGCTCACCACTGTGAATTAGTAGAGATCTGGGTTCCAGACCTGACAATTGCCATTTCCTTGACATGGCATTAGGCAGTTAAATGTCACCTTTCTTGAGCCTCTTGTATGTCCTCATCTATAAAATGAGGAACTGAACAAGATTTCTAAGGTCCAATCTAGTACTAACATTGTGTGAATCTCAGGTACTACTGAGAAAGTTCTGGCTAAAAGACTACTGCATTACAAATTCACCCAATATGCCAGAATAAAAGAGAAAATTCAGTCTTCCTGAATTTTCACATTAGAAGCTGAATTCAGAAACAGCTCCTTGGGGGCAGCTAGGTGGCCCAGGGGATAGAGCACCAGCCCTGGATTCAGGAGGACCTGAGCTCAAATCCGACCTCAGACACATAACGCTTACAAGCAGTATGACCCTGGGCAAGTCACTTAACCCCATTGCCTAGCCAAAAAAAAAAAAAACCACACCTCCTTCAGAGACAACCTGAATTTCCAATATTACTGACAAAGAGATGGCCATTCTGAACTTTCAGCGGTCTCCTTTTCTAGATTTTCTGCAGGAACCTTCTTCTACTGCAATATGGAATTTCAAAAATATACTAAGGATACTGGGAGAAGGGGGAGGCAGCCCACTACTACTAACATAAAGACGTCTCAGAAATGAAATAATTTATCAATATTACCTAACAGAGAACAATGATTTCCGTCTTAACCATTTAATGTATAAGCATGATCTGTGAAACCTTGAAAGATATCTTGGGGTTTATGGGCTAGATTTTTTTTTCTTAAGGGCCATGCCTTAAACTCAAATCACTCTGGCTCTCAATGATTGGCCAATAATAGGTCCCAGGCCAAGATCCACTTGGTCTCGGTTTAGGCCCTGACTGGCTCAGAGTGAATGTAAATAGCAACTGTTTCAATTTTGGCCAGAAACCTTAAGGTTTCCCAGACTGGTATTTTTTTGACTAGGTGAAAGAGGCCATTCACTGCCACATTTCTTACCTAGCCTTAATCACTGAATGGGCATTGCCTCAGTCGAACTTTGACCTCTTTAAGACTTTAGATTAAAAAGTCCAAGGTCTTCCACTTCAATTCATCTCCAGTAGTCTGATCTATATCTTGCCATTGGGCCCAGATGGCTCAGGAGGAAAAAGTGAGGCTGATGACTTTGCACAGTCCTCCCTCACTTAAATCCAATTCACTTGCAGGGTCACAGTATTACCTCCCTCATGTCATAGTCCTCTATGAGAACTAAGGACAAACTACAACATAAGAACACTTCAAAAACTTGAATGAATTCTATACAAGTAAATCTACTAAATTAAAAACTAGAAACTCAGACTTCTTTAATTGTTCATTTTAGGGGCAGCCAGGTGGCACAGTGGATAGAGCACCGACCCTGATTCAGGAGGACTCCAGTTCAAATCTGGCCTCAGACACATAATACTAACTGCGTGACCCTGGTCAAGTCACTTAACCCCAATGCCTAATCAAAAAAAGAAAAGGAAATGTCTATGGTATGAAAAAGGGCATCAATTGTTCATTTTAACCTAATTATAACAATTATGACTGTTCATATATCCAACTTTGTTTAAATAGACTGAAACTGTCCAATTCATCACATGCCATTGAATTGCAGAACACTTATTGCATTATACACAAATCCAAAAATGTTTAGATAAATTGGAAGCTATAGCAATTCTCTGAAGTAGTTCAGAACATGGAAAGAGATTAATGACATTTATATAGCACTTTCTTTACAATAACCCAATGAGTGAGGTACAGCAAGAATTAAATCCCTACCCAAGAGATGAGAAAACAGAACTGGTTAAGTGACTTGTCCATGGTACACAATTGAAGTAGTGAAATAAAGGTCTCATTGATCCAAGACCATAACTCTGGCTCAAGGCTCTCTTCTCACTTATACCATAAGTCCTTTCACAACTGCCTCTGTAATTTCTTATATTATTTTGCCTATAATGAATTACTAAGGGATGGGGAAAAATTTTTTTGAAGCACATACTTAATTTACTATGCATGATTAAGTTATTAACTTTAAGCACATCACTATGTATACCTTCATGTATACGTCAAGCTCCACAGCTGGTCAACACAGGAATGAAACTACACTGAAAATACATTTACGTTTGAAACTGGAACTCTCCTACCACTAACCTTTTATGCTTTCTAATCTTTCTTTTCCGATTTAATTAACAAACTTTGAAACATAAGCTGGCAAAAGATTTGTTTTTTTAATCATGGCCAGTTCACTCCACTCCGGTGACAGAGGTGGTGTTACTTGTTTTCCTCCATAACTTTCCAAGTCAACAATGAAATTTAGCGACATTTTTCAAGGGGAAAGGGATTAAGAGGCAATAGGCCAATTTCCAGAGGGGGGGGGAAGAAAAAAGGAAATCGCGCACACTGAGGGCCGCAACGAAATCCCCCAGCACTTCATTTTCGAGGCGAGGGATGCATTTTGCAAACTGAAGTCCTCGTCTCTCGCCGGGGTGCTTGGGGCTCCTAATGGCTGGAAGGGTGGGGGTGGAGGAAAAGAGAAGGGGGAAGAGAGGAGGGGTCCAGTTTCTAGTGGCCACCCCCGCAAGCAAAGGAGCACCTGGAGAAAAGGGGGAGAAATGGGCTGGAGAAGCACTACAGGAAAGACCTTTTACCCCAACACACACACACAGACGCACTCCCAACCCCCACCCCTCCTTCCCAGGGAAGGTGGAGCAAGAGAAGCAAATCACCTTCGGCGAGGCTGCCCCCACCCACCCCTACGGTCCAGCTGTCCCGCCACGGGCTGACCCACCGTCGGGTACTCGCGGTGAGTGGCTCCAGCCCTGCTCCCTCCTGCCAGTGGAAGGAGCCGCCGTCCGTCCGGGCTGGACACCCCCCATGTTCGTCCCCCTGCCCCCCATTCGCAGCATCCCCCTGCGGCCAGGGGCGCGCGCCCCCCGCGGGAAGAGCAGGGGAGGGGCGCAGGTCCCCCGCTGCCGCGGCCCCCCCTGCCGCGCGTGCCGGGCCAGCGGAGGGGAGGGAGGCGCCTCCGGCGGCCCCGGGGTTCCCAGGTCGCCTGCTCCGGTGCCGAGGGAACCGACCTCTCGCCCACCGTCCCCGCTCCGAGGAAGCCCGAGGGACTGCGGCGGCAGAGCCGGGGACGGCAGGGACCGGGAGGGATTGTCGCAGCCTGGGGGCGGGGAGACGAGGGGGGAGCGAGGGTGCGGGGGTCACGGGGGCGGACGGGGAGGAGGCGACAGCGCGTTACCTTCCTCGGCGGTGTCCATCTTGTCTGGGGGGGCGGCGGTGACGCAGCCGCGGATGCTCCCGAGACTGGAGCCTTCCGGGCGGAGGCGGGGGGAGGTGATGGAGGAGGGAGGGGTAGGCCGGGGAGGGGAGAGCGAGGTGGAGGCGTGCGTGAGGGTAGAGAGGCGGGGGAAGAGGTGGAGAGAGAAAAAGTGAGAGAGGGAGAAGAAAGTGAGAAGGTAAGGGGGCGGGGTGGGGGATGTGGAGGTGGGGAGTAGGCCCAGGCGTACAGTGGAGACCGGAAGGAACTTGAGCGCCATCAACGACGGGGCTGGCGTCACGTCCGGCCTTGGCCGCTCGGTGCCCTCCGCTCTGGAGCTGGGGGGAGGGAGGAGGTATGAAATTGATGAGGTGCTGAGTTTCCTCCCTGCGGAGCAGTGGGGAAGGTGCATTGGCCAGGCGGCCGTGAAGCGTGAGCCGGGGAGCGGGACCACATGTGTAGAGGAGTTTATTTTCAGACGTGGACTGTATTTTCGTTTGGCGTGACCTGTTACACGGGAAGGCGTGCGTGGCGGGGTGGGGGTGGAGTGGAGTTGGAGGAGGAGGGTCTGAGTGGAAAATGATAAAAATGCAAAAAAGAAAAGAAGTGCATCAAGATAACATTTTAAAATTACACAGAAGAGAAAAAAAAGTTCCGAAAGGGACAAGAATGGCAATTTTATCACAAACCTGACATTTAATAATGCTTTTTTAAACTAATAAGTTCACGGTTGTATATACAATCCTCTTTGTAGTCTTTGTTGAAATGTTTGTTGATAATTGTTAAATTCGCAATACAAAAGAAAAGTTTAAAAAAAACCCAAAAACTGAATAGCTGAAGTGGCAGAACCTGAGACTAACGTAGGGAGCAGTGGAAGTAGGTCGATGAACTTGTTACCCAGAGAGGCTGATAAGCTTAGAGTGGCCACTTAGAGTGGGAGTGTGCGGAGGCGGAGGCGGAGGCGGGGAGCTGGATCCCAGTAGGCTTCCCTGACCTTCCCGAAAGCCTATTATTTAGCCAGGGAAGCCAGTTTAACGCAGAAGACTTTAAAGAGATGAAATAAAGGATTCTGAACTATGAGCTTTTCTATTTATAAAGCTGATGCCTTAACCGGTACTGCTTCAACTCTGTCCCAAGTATTTAGAGAGAGTTGTCCACCAAATTTAAAAAATAAAATAAATACTGTGTCCTTAGATATAACTTGAATCCAAACATATTCTGGTGGTTATATCTTACCATAATTACAGGAGCCCCAGGAAACCTTTGAAAATCAAAAGTCAATTTTAATGAAATTCTAGGAAAAGATGGCCTTGCTTAACCTTCTAAAACTGGGTGAAAGAGCCTTGTACATTACTTTGAATGCTTGAAGTTCCTCATACTTGGTTAACAAATAGGCTTTTAAATTTGCGGTGAGTAATGGGTTTTGGCTTTTTAGTTAGAGGATTTGGGTTGAAATACTACCTCCGAGGTACCAGATCACACCTATCAGATTGGCTAACATGACAAAATAGGAAATTGATAGATGTTGGAGAAGATGTGGGAACACTGGAACACCAATGCATTGTTGGTGGAGTTGCGAAATGATCCAGCCATTTTGGAGAGCAATTTGGAACTATGCCCAAAGAGCTATAAAAATGTGCATACCCTTTGACCCAGCAATAGCACTTCTAGGGCTATATCCCAGAGAGATCATACAAATGGGGAAAGGAACTACATGTACAAACTATTTATAGCAGCTCTTTTTGTGTTGGCAAAGAATTGGAAATTGAGAGGATGCCCATCAATTGGGGAATGGTGAACAAGTTGTGGTATATGAATGTAATGGAATAGTATTGTGCTATAAGAAATGGTGAACAGGCTGACTCCAGAAAAACCTGGAAAGATTTGTATGGTCTGATGCTGAGTGAAATGAGCAGAACCAACAGAACGTTGTATACAGTAATAGCCACATTGTGCAATGAGTAATATTGAAAGACTTAACCCTTCTCAGCAATACGGGGATCCAAAGACATCTCCAAAGGCCTCATGTTGGAAAATGCTATTCACATCCAAAGGAAGAACTATAGAGTTTGAATACAGATCAAAGCATACTATTTGCTATTTTTTTCTTCTTTTGTGTTTTGTCCTCTTTCTGGTGGTTCCTCCTATTGGTTCTAATTCTTACCTACAACATCACTAATGTGAAAATATGTTTAATAGGAAAAAAAAATACTACCTCTGAAAATTACTGCCCAAGTAACCTTGGGCAAGTCACTTAGCCTCTATGGGTCAAGGTTTCCTCCTCTGTAAAATGAGTAGGGTGGATTAATCTGCCTTGAGGTCCCACCAGCTCTAAACAAGCAGGCCAGGCCAGTACTTGAGTTAATGTTGAATCCCTGATCATTAATAATTATTTCTGTAAAAATAAAAAACACTTAGAAATGTGCTTTGTTCTCTAAAACTTACTAAAAATATTTCTAATTTAGCATGCATTTATTTCTAAATTTAGCATGAATTGCTAAGAGTACTATATTTGTTTTGCATGTATCCAAATAAAAAAAAAAGCATAAGCACAACTTTTAAAGTAATGAATTTTTTTTAGCCTCAACAGTCAATTATTAGGATAAGAAAATAAATTTTTTGTTGTTGTTAAACATTATCTTTATTTTGTTTCTGAGATTGTACAGAAATGCCTGAGCTGAGAGGGCTGAACAGTAATTTGAAAAAATAGTTGTCAATAGAACACCTAGAAAGCAATGGGCAGTACCCTGCTACAGGAAAAGGCATCCTTTCTACTCCTAGCTCTGTTGTCCAGTTGTGTCCAACTCTTTGTGACCCCACGGACCATAGCACACCCAGCCCTTCTGTCCTCCACTATCTCTCCAAGTCTGTCCAAGTTCATATTCATTGTTTCCATGACACCATCTGTCAATCTCATCTTCTGCCATTCCCTTTCCCTTTTGCCTTCAATCTTTCCCAACAACAAGGGTTTTTTCCAGTGAGTCACATTTTCTCATTATGGGGCCACAGTACTTAAGTTTCAGCTTCAGTATTTGACTTTACAGTGAATAGTGTCAAGATTGAGATTTTAACGAAAGGGCAAACTCAGACAAATCTCAAGCAAGATAATATTTATTAGCAAGGGCGTGCTACCCATCAATAAATGGGTCCATGTCTTCCCATTAATGCCAAAGACCTTGAGAAGAGGACAGTTACGCTTACGTGGTGTTTGGTGGAGTACAGAAACAAGAACAGGGCAGGGTAGATAACATCATGAATTTCAGGGCAATGTGACTGGTTACAGAGCTGAGGCACAGGGAACAACATGATTAGTTGGGAGTTTGGTAATGGGGGCTAGCAACAACACCCTCCCCCCCTTCTCTCATGAATGAGCACTTAGTGCTCATTGAATGCAGATTCAAGATAGTGGTTCAGAAAACCAGACATCCTTCAAGGATAGCTTGATGGAATAAAGGTATCAGGCCCACACTCCCTTGCTTCTCACACATTCACCAAGGTCGGTTAAATTCCTTGAGACAGGAGAGCTGGATTTTTAAACTTAACCCATTACAGGGCAGCTGAACAGAGACAAAAAAAGCATGACTTAATTACGGGGCAAAATCAATTATTTGTAAATAGGATCTTTAATTCTTTAAGTATTGACTGATTTGATCTTACTGTCCAAGGGACTGTCAAGTCTTCTCTAGCACCACAATTCAAAATCGCCTATTGAGTGTTGCTCAGCTTTCCTTAGAGTCCAGCTGTCACAGCTATATTATATATTACTACTTGGAAAGCCATAACTTTGGCTGTGTGGACTTTTGTTGGCAAGGTGGTGTCTCTGCAACCTCGGGCAAATCACTTAACCTCTTCAAACCTCAACGGCCCTCTCATGTCCAGCACTGCATGGTGATGAACATATTGTCCTAAAAATAATTGGCAGTAGTGAAGTAGTATTGAATTTGAAGACTGAAGACTTGAATTCAGATAAATGCTCTCTCACTTTCTTTCTGTGTGACCTTGCTCAAATTACTTATTCTCTGGACTTGCTTCTTCAGTCAGCAATTCGGACTAAAGAAGCTAATGATCTTGTGGTCACAAAAGCCTTAAGAAAGTTTATGCTTACTATCTTGCTTGGTACCAAAAAACAAACCCACCTCTTTATCAGAAGTTTTAAGAAAGAAGGAAACTTTGTGGATGAAGCTGCTAGACACAGGAAGCATGATGCAGAGGAAAGAGCACCATCTCTTCAGTCGGAAAACCCATCATTTGCTATGATTGCCACATTCTACAGCTTTATGAGTGTTCTAAGATGTTAAAGGGAAAGGCAAGTGCTCCATCAGCACCATCAACCTTGAACATTTAAAAATCAGTGATTAATACAATTTTTATGATGTTCTTTGTGAAAAAAAATGGACACTGACCATTTTGACCATTAATTTGAAATCTGGTGGCTCGATGATTTTCAAGCTTAAGCCCCATTTGTTGATTTTTTTATATTCTGCATAATTTAATTTTATTAAGCTTACAGATAGGATTCCTTAATAGGCATTTATTAAACATCTGCTATGTACGAGGCACTGAGCCAGCCTCTGGTAAAAGATTAAATACAGTATCATTCAGAAATAACCAGAATCGATATACATTCTGCAAACTGCATCTAAAGCTAATACGTTTTTTAAAGCCATACAAATTTAGAATGAAGTATTTTTTAAATTCTGAAAAAGAATTTTTAAAAAATTTTATTTACATAAAATTCCAGAATTCTGAGTTTTTAAAGCAGTATTACCTAGGGTACATTTTTTCCATCACAAGTTTAACTTTCAAATGAGCTCTCAGTTTCAAATCATAGCTACATGACAATTCTACCAAAATCTGTTCTAACATTGTACCATGGTTTTTTAAATTGCTTCATTGCATTGTGTTATAAGAAATAAAAACCTGGAAAAACATAAACTGATGCGA